AACCCAGGCCTTAACATGCTTGAGAATCGCACTGCAAAATTTGCTAGTGTAAACGGGCCTTTACACGTTGGAAATTTTAGCGGAAACTCGCTTGCAACGCCGTTGCAAGCAAGTTTCAGCTAAAATTTTCAACGTGTAACAGGGCTTTTATGTAAAGAGACCCCACAAACAAAAGGGACTGGATGAGGATGGGGTGTGGGTCTAAATAGGTTTTTAAAAAATTGGCTGAACTCCCCCTTTTTTCCATTCCTTCGATTCTCAACAGAAAATACCTCATTATAGAATCGAATATTTCTTTACTAATCCCATCATAATTTTTAACATAATTTAACTGTGCATTCTGATAAGAAACATTTTAAAAAAGCTTATCATCATTGTCAAGCCTGTTGAGTATACCATAGTTAACTATTAACTATGAATAAACGTAACTAATTTTAATACTATCAAACGTTTTACTACATAAATCCTTTAAGACATTAACAACTCTAAGACTTACTCTATTAACAACTAAAAAATAAATTTAATTCTTACGAAACTCAAGTTTTCTCGCTAACCTACTACTCTTCCCWGTAGACCGAGGTAGTTGTGATTTTTTAATCGCCTTCGTAGCGTCTGTTATGTTATTCGCAAGTATATTTCAAATCGACCACGTGATGCCAATGTTGTACCACGAGGACAAGTTTTTTACACCACGTGATCAAAATTCAGTCAAGTTTCAACTACCTCGGTCTACTGGGAAGAGTAGTACAGTAAGTTGTTTCAAGTTCCGTTCTACACGATATTTTACATTTTTTTCATCAGTGCTAATAGTTGTATTAAATCTCAAATCGTTTGTTATACTTGTTTATTTTGTATTTTTACRCTAAACCAATGATGAAAGGGTCCTGAAAATTGAACTGATGAGAAATGGAATTTGGTTACAACCTCAATCATGTCCTTTTTGTAATCACTACCAAATCCTGCAATCTGATTAGTTCAAAGGAGTGCGATTAATTCCCAAATCGCATACTTGGGCGCAAAATAACAGCAAAACGAATTAAATCACGATAAAAAAAAATGGTTATTTAGACGGCGAAAGATGATAACAGACAAATGTTGTACTAGATCCCGAACGAAAGAAAATTTCGCCTAAATTCCTATCATTCTTGCCCATGTAAACAAGCTGTGACGTCATAATGTTATAGGTCAATTGAACTCCGTGCATGTCGTGCAATTTTGGACCAAAATCCTACTTTTAATTTACAAATTGGACTCCCGCTATGCGGTCGTGCAATTTCGTAATCATTCATATGATTTTGGTTTAAATTGCACTCCACTCAGTTCAATTACCATCATTGAGCTAGAATTATTCAGCGTAGTGGGAATGAAATTTTTACGTCATTCAAGAAATATAGGTCATKCCATAAATGATCCCAAAATAAGGCGAAAATACAAAAGAAATCACACCTTTTCTGAATGGCATTTTTGCCATTTCATTCGTATTTTCCTGTTACCCTCCAAAAACATTCTAAAGGGGTCTATGGATAGTGCAATAAATTATATTGGAATGAGCAGCATTTTTTCCTGACGTAATGACCACAAAAAGTCCTTGATTGCTACTGAAAATCTAAGAAAATATTAAATTGAAAAATTATCCAAATCATTGGCATAGAGCGTGGTTTTTATGACTGGTTTGCGGCTGATTCTTTGAATCTAGGATTTCAGATACAGGATTTTAGTTTAGGCGGGAAAAGGGGAGAGGGAAATCACCCCTCCCCTTCCCCCTCTGGATTCTAGGCGATCCTGCATGAATATGTGACTTCGTAATGAAGGGAGACAGTAAGCATTGTCTTTATGAATGAATGAGTCAGTTCTTAATGAATGATGGGTGAATTAAGAGAGGACATTTCTTGTTCAGGAGACGACAGCTTGTTGGATGCTTGTTTATTGTGGTATTTTCTCTCGATGTGGATCCCGGAGTCGTCACTTTTGCTGCTGAATGGCTAAAGAAGGAAAAAAGCTCGAGACTAAATCGTTGGATATGTAATAGTAAGCGGAAAAAAACAAACATCGAATACACCAGTTTAACATTCAATGCATACCGCTGTTTTTGAAGACCACAGACGCATTTGCACAGCTAGCCTCGTTTATAAGTCAGCTATTCACAGATACCATTAAAGTCCGTGGGATTTCAAAACATTGGTATTGTTCAAGCCGCACATTCTTTACATTAAAGTTGACATTTGCAAATGATTTCAAGTACTCTTAAGCGAGGCTAAGCCTGCGGAGATGAGTCTTCAGTCTTAAAACACAGCGGTATTTACGGAATGAGAAAAGGGACTATTGTGATTTCGAAAAATATATAACGGTCTAGCTACCTTTTATCCTGTCGACACCTTACAAATAATCTACCAAAACCCTTAACGTTCATGGGCATTGTTCGCACGCATCCTTTCAACCCATGTATTTAGTGAACGCGAGCTCATCGTGATGACGTCATTCCAATGTTTTGATAAGCAAAATATCATAAAAACGTTTTAAATCTGTTATAGCTGTAAGACAAAGTCGGGGAAGGTCTTTTTTATTTTCTTCTTTTGAAAGTAATTGGTAATGCCCAACTTTAGAGGAAAAAATCAAAAAATCTGACGATCAAATCTAAATAAAATATTTTGTCCATCCCAACCGGCTTACAGTGCCTCATCTATTTTGTTTATTGGAATAGAATCTCACGTTCACGCTTGTAGCCCCATAAAATTATATATTTCTAATTTCTGACACAAATTTCAAGTTATAACTAAATATTTGGTTATTTTCTAAAGTGTTGTGGAAAATGGGGACGATCAATCTAATTTTTCAGTACAAATATGACTTATTTTTGACAGCTTTCCGGTGCTTACGTTGTTCGCGCGTTTTAACCGTAAAAAGAGTGAACTACCACGCATTCTGATGGATAAACGAAGTAGGGTACGTTTAGTAAGATGTTCTTTCATCATGCAAAATTTGAAAAAATCTGACGATAAATTTTTTTGCCCATGAACGTCCTTAATATTGCAAATAAGGCACTAGCAACCTAGATTAGACAGAAGGAAGGCTTCTCGCTAATATTCATTATATTTTTTTCTATCTCAGCCCCTCATCTCCTCCCCACTCCCCACTTCTTTTCTTTTGCATACTTTTCTCTTACATTCTTCAATCTTAGCCTACCCCGCCACACTCCCCGCCATCTTAGACCGGCTGCCACACAGCCCTTGCCAGAGTCCACCTTACGCTGTACACCTATACTACCAACACTTCACAATTTCATAATTTCATAATTCTTCTCATTGTAAATATCGTTTACGATTAATCCATTGTTCCAATTAAGTCGGTAAAGCAATCGGACTAACTTACCTGGACAGAAATGACACGGGTGGTTCTTGGCATCAAACTCATAGACAACCGAGCTGTGGAATCAAGAGATGATTCATCGCAAAAGTCAGGTTACTCTAAGTAATAGGGGCTGAAAACATTTTCATTAGCATTCGATTACGCCTTTGCCGGTCATTACTTTATCCCTCCCCCTCGACCAATTTTTTTCCTTACCGTGCTCCCCCTTAACGTCCACGTATATATATAAATGGCAGAGGATGCATGGAGATTGATTTCAACGGGGTGTCTGTTACTTTAAAAGCGGAGCGAATGGCGATCCACTCTCCCCCTCTTCTTCTTGCCTGTTTTGACCCATTGTGTGCAGAGAGACATTTCGTTGCCTCAAATTTTACTTACCTTTGAGTCTGGCAATGGCGTTGTTGTTACTATTTGAGGATCGAGAGATGTTTTTGTTCTTGTGTTTAGATTCGTAGCTTTGGCTGTCATTCTGTTAAAATTATATCATTTAAAGTCACTACCGGATTAGTATTCAAAATCAGAGAAAACCTTAATTTGTGGCTACTCACGGTTGCACTGTACGATGCGTTGTAGTCCGATGCAGACTCTCTTGATAGCTGCCATTTCTCCCAGTGTCTTTTAAAAGCCGTACGCACCTAAAACAACAAAGAATGTCTTACAGTCGGGAATCTATTGTCAGCGGTATCTCTGTACGAATATATATGAGATCACTCGACCATGACATTACTCTTGGAGACAACTACCGGCCGTTCAACATCTCCTGAAATCTGTGCTTGCAAGTCTTCAATGTCGAGCGTGAAGTTCCAACGCCCGTTTTGCCTGAAAGTTAACTTTAGGAAGGCCAAGAACCACTAGAGCAACCAAATATAGAGCCACAAGTTTTACCATTAGATTGGAAATACACCAYGAGTTTCGCATTCTCTGCATACCGCTGTTTTTGAAGACCACAGACTCATTTGTACAAGCTTAGCCTCGTCCATAAGTCAGCTATTCACAGATACCATTAAAAGTCCGTGGGATTTCAAAACATTAGTACTGTTCAACTTGCACATTCTTTACATTACAGCTGACTTTCATGTGCAAATGATTTGCTCTTAAGCGAGGCTAAGCCTGTACAAATGAGTCTGTAGTCATAAAACACAACGATATTTACCGAACGAGAAAAGGGACTATTGCGACAAAGATGTTTCCAACCGCCGGCCGCCGCGGGCTCAGGCAAGCTAACAAATTGCACCTCTTCAACTTCCAGCCCTCGAGGTAGCTTGTGTTCATTGTCATTTTTATACTGCCTCGGACTTGTCAATTCTTTCGTAGGACTTATGTTTGGTTGTTTGCTATGTTTTTTTCTCGCTTGACTTCACTACTATAACTTTTTTTTATGGAAACTAGTTTTATTTTGCAAGTATGCTTTTGGTATTTTGTCGTAGTTCGGGAAAAGTATCGGGTATACTCGTCGCATCTTTTTGGTTTAAAAATCAACGATTTGGTATCTTTTAGGGTGTTAAAATTGAAATTGAGAATTTCGGCATTACTGAGCCTCTAAAATACACTTAAGTTCCTCACCTCGTTGTTGAACACCATGTGTGACAGAAAAATCCAAAATCCCTGCAAGAATAGCGATCAATATAAGGTGACTTTTTACACATCCATATATGAAGGAAGTCGGGTTTTTACTTTTCTCAACTTGCGCGCAGATAATTAAGGAAGCGCTACTTGGTATAAGTGAATATTCCATTATTAAAGAAGGTGAAGCAAGCAAGCAAGC